TCTCTTTATCTCCCTGCACTGGCTACCGGTTGCGGCTCGCATCAAGTTCAAGACATTGATGTTTGCATACAGAACAGCCACAGGCTCAGCACCCACCTACTTCCTCCTCACTCAAATCTACATCCCCTCCAGAAGCCTGAGATCTGAAAGTAAGCGATGCCTTGTGGTAACATCACAGAGAGGCATTTTCTTTCACCTTTCCTGGCTGGTGAAATGATCTTCCCACAATCGCAGTAATTAACAGAACACCCGACACGTTATCTGACAGCAGCACTAATTTAATCCCATACCCAACCCGTTTGACATAAAAACTGGGACCCGAACCACACCTGCATTAAATCTCCTACATGAGGTAGACAAAACTCATTTATTAAAACTTTTATTCAAATTGTGAATAGATTAAATACAGAAAGCAAGCAAAGAGCGCTTCCTTTAATATATTCACTACAGCTGTCAATTAGTGGCAGCGCGATTGGCTACATTGCTCAGCATGTACTGGACCGAGTCAAAATAGTCTTGGTTATTGGACTCGCAACCCGCCTGTGCTTGTCACCGTCCGGCCCGCACCTGCACCAAACCCTACACATAAATATTATTCCACCCGTTACATCAAATATTAGCGGTTCACCTGCATGTACCAGCCCGCATGCAGGACTCTGGCTTCCCCCTTGAGTTTACATGAAATATGTTTGAAATGTCATTCTGCATCTTCTGAGATTTCATTGTAATCCTTCTCATAAAGTCATGGAATTAAACATTAACTGTTCACCTGATTGTGTTGCCATCTGCATGTGATGTTAGAGCGTTGTTGAGAGAGAACAAGAATGTATTGGAAACCATTAACTCTTCACCTGAACAGTTTATGTTTTTGTATATGGTATCATTGTAATCCTTGACCATCAAAACATGGGGGTAGACATCACATTTTCTGTGTTATCATGTTTGGTTCAGGAGCTATGACACAAAATACATAATTTGGTTATGGCAGAAAGTAAAATGGTCGCCATGGCAACCACAAGGTGTTTTTGCGATTGCTCCATTTCTGAAAATATTTAGGGCCGCAAACTATGCAAGTGTACCAAATTTCATGCTTTTATGAAAAAGTGAACATTATTTTCACATATCACCTGGACTATACCAAAGTGGTTTTGTTTTAGATGGTTAGTGCTGGTCTGTAACCAAAAGGAATTGTTTACCCCAAAATGACATCATTTACTCACCCTCATTATTCATTGATCTTTTTCTCCACCAGATCTCGGAACATCTAAGTTCAGCTTTTGTTCAATTAAAAAAGCCGGAAGCAGCTGGATTTAGCTCTCCCAGCCTGACTGAGCTAAAGAAGTGGTCAGAACCCCTCTAATACCAGCCTACAAACCAGCTATGACCAGGCTGGATGACCAGCTAAAACCAGCCAACCAGCTTTCATTTTAGCTGTTTCTTTCAGCAGGGAATGCTGACAACTCATTGAAAAAAACATGCTTGCGGTGGCATTTCTGTTTTCGTGACACTTTCAAAGTGGAATGTCCAATGAGTGGCACTAAAAGTGGGTTCAATTTTATGTGAAGCAGATGAATGTGCATCTAGGGTGACAATACCTGCTTATTTCCTGGACACGTCCTGGTCATAATTTCTCTGTTGCCTTAAAATATCCAGGTTTTGGCTTTGTTTTCCTGCTTTCATACTCGCTTAAGATAATGATCGAAAAGTAGTTGTACCAATAACATGCAGGCATTGTACATTATCGACCAGTCGTGGCGCGTGAGAAGGTGGGATCTACAGAGAATGGTCAAAGCGATGCAAATGCGCGCACATATTAGGTGTGTTCGACTGACTGGCTGGTTTTAGCTGGTTGTCCAGCCTGGTCATAGCTGGTCAGCAGGCTGGTTTTAGAGGGGTTTTGGCCACTTCTTTAGCTGGTCAGACTGGGAGAAACGCTGGCCAAACAGCTAAATCCAACAGGGCCAGGCTGGGAGACCAGCTAAAACCAGCTACTTCCAGCTTAAACCAGCTACGACCAGACAACCAGCTTAGGCTGGTTTTAGCTGGTTATTTCAGCAGGGTATGCAGTGCAAACAAAGGCAAAACCTGGATATTTTAGGCAATATAGAAATTCTGGCCAGGACATGTCCAGGAAAAAGGGCACTTATGTTCAACCTATGTGCATCTGAACATTTTATCACGCTGGTTGTTGTAGCTACGTATTGCAACAGTTCAGAAATGAAATGCCCGGTGAGTGGCGCTAAACCGTTAATATGCTCGCATTTAAATATAGCATACCACCAATACTAAACTCTACCCTAAACATAACTGCTAGTGTTAACAAAAGCAAACATGAGATAAAACACATTTGCTGAAGCAACCATGGCATTTTAGCTCGTTTCTACAAATCAAATCATGACTCGTGTATGAAGGTAGAATGACGTCAAAAAGATTTCCATACGCAGGGTAAGAGTTGTGGAAGTGTACATAAGACTGTAAGCGTAAATTAAATTTGCATGCGCAAGAGAAGCTTTGTAAAGGTGTAAATCGCGTTTCAAGCGCAAGAAAAAATTATTTGCAGCATTTTACTGTTACTCGTAAGTGTAATTCATGTATTGTGAAACTGCAGCTTCATGCTAACGCAAAATAAATATGATCTGCATGCTTCTGACTTCCATTTTTCCGCGCTTACACTTTTGGCACGTTTTTTTCGCCAAAAGACGGTCAAAAGCACTGCAAGCCTGTGAACAGTGATTTGCAAGCGAAAACATCAGTTTAAAGAACTGCAAAACGGATTGACTGCATAGAACCAATCTGTATGTGTAAAAAAACTAACTGTTGCAAATGTCTAAATGACTTGTTGTGCATGTGGGGCAAAAAGTTCCCGAAATAAACCGATATGTACAGCTCCGTCTTTCTTTTCTCTGCGCTTACAATTTTGGCACGATTCTCTCACTAACTGAGTTTTGCAAGCGTGAGGGGGAGGGCGGGGCCACCTTCTTCTTGTAGCCAATCAAATGAGCCTCTCGCTGACTCTCCACATAATTTCTCTGTTGCCTTAAAATATCCAGGTTTTGGCTTTGTTTTCCTGCTTTCATACTCGCTTAAGATAATGATCGAAAAGTAGTTGTACCAATAACATGCAGGCATTGTACATTATCGACCAGTCGTGGCGCGTGAGAAGGTGGGATCTACAGAGAATGGTCAAAGCGATGCAAATGCGCGCACATATTAGGTGTGTTCGACTGACTGGCTGGTTTTAGCTGGTTGTCCAGCCTGGTCATAGCTGGTCAGCAGGCTGGTTTTAGAGGGGTTTTGGCCACTTCTTTAGCTGGTCAGACTGGGAGAAACGCTGGCCAAACAGCTAAATCCAACAGGGCCAGGCTGGGAGACCAGCTAAAACCAGCTACTTCCAGCTTAAACCAGCTACGACCAGACAACCAGCTTAGGCTGGTTTTAGCTGGTTATTTCAGCAGGGTATGCAGTGCAAACAAAGGCAAAACCTGGATATTTTAGGCAATATAGAAATTCTGGCCAGGACATGTCCAGGAAAAAGGGCACTTATGTTCAACCTATGTGCATCTGAACATTTTATCACGCTGGTTGTTGTAGCTACGTATTGCAACAGTTCAGAAATGAAATGCCCGGTGAGTGGCGCTAAACCGTTAATATGCTCGCATTTAAATATAGCATACCACCAATACTAAACTCTACCCTAAACATAACTGCTAGTGTTAACAAAAGCAAACATGAGATAAAACACATTTGCTGAAGCAACCATGGCATTTTAGCTCGTTTCTACAAATCAAATCATGACTCGTGTATGAAGGTAGAATGACGTCAAAAAGATTTCCATACGCAGGGTAAGAGTTGTGGAAGTGTACATAAGACTGTAAGCGTAAATTAAATTTGCTGCAAATTTAATTTACGCTTACAGTCTTATGTACACTTCCACAACTCTTACCCTGCGTATGCAAATCTTTTTGACGTCATTCTACCTTCATACTCGTGTTTCATGGGACTCGTACTCGAGGGCTACGCATCGCAAGTGCAACGCTATACCAGGTGAGCTACCAAAAAAGTTTGTTTTAACAATTTTGCTAAAAAAGCCATACATAGGGAGCTGGTTATGTGATGTAAATGTCAAAATGTGTATGTAAGGTGCTTGAAAATAAGTCTTTATTAATGCCTACATTTTTAAAATTTCTAAATTATTAAAATTTAATTAAATGAGTAAATTAAATTAAAATAAGTTTTTTAGAACTTATTAAAATAAGTCTTTATTAAATCTTTATTTTGCCCTCCAATCATAATTTGTTTGAAAGGGTTGTTGGTTTTTACTGCCATTAGTGTTCATTTCAACTGAAAACTGCTATGTATGTTTTTGGAGTTTAGCAATAATGTAGAGGCACATTTTTCCAATGAGCCATTCTGAAATGTAATGTCATTAACGAACAGTTACTTATTACAGTTATTTCAGACTACTTTTAAATTCCACTGTTTATTAGGGTGTTTTGGGGGTTGAGTATGAGTGTTGACAACATTTTCATTTTTGGATGAAGTACTCCTTTACAATGGATTGACATTAAGTTGTCATTTTAAGCTGGTTGTAAGCTAGTCTATGCGTATTTCTAGAATATAGTTTTAAATACTGTACTTACTGTATAGAACAAGGTTGAGTTTTTCCTCACACTGTCTGGGTGCAGTGAAAAAAACACCATAGCAGATTGGCTCTTCAATCCAGTCAGTCAAACTGTCCACCCGCCACTGAACGCTGAGGTCATTCTGAGTGTGCGATGCGGCAATGACCGATTCCCATCCCAGCACGCGTACTGGGCGAGAGGCCACACAGCTGACCGACACTGGATCCCCAAATTTCACCACTATTCTGGAGGGAGATATCTCTAGCGAGCAACTGTCACCTGACACTGAAGGAGGTGTGAATCAGAATCATCAGTATCACACTTATTAAATATTAATATGCCATAGGCCTATATAGAAAATGTGAATATTTTCTAGCATATTTGAAAACAATTATTGTGCCATAAACCATGTTTCAATGCTTTCCATCCAAAAGTAGATCTAAATAATTATTTTTATAACAAATTTTCTTTCTACTAAGAAATACTTTTATAATGACCAATGTAAAATATTTCTTGAATGAACTTTACAAACTGCCAAAAACATTACAGATAAATTCAGTAGGTTTTCATGGGAAGTTGGCTAGTGCAAACAGATATGCGCTGCATAATTGTTTACTCTCAGCTTAACCTGAAATACTATTAAACAACTAGCGTTATTTGCACACAGAAACCTCTTACCTATTCCGATAATGTACAGACCGAGAAACCATAAGAGATTAGTTTTCATTTTGATGAAAATAGTTGAAATCTGCTAGAGTCCGCTCACAGAGGCAAGAGGAATTCCGCCACGGTCTTGCTTGGCAACTAAAAACTGAACAGTGACAGCCAACAAAAGCCTTGTAAGGGCCTGGAAGGGGATTGAAGTAGTGGGCCTCATTAAAATCAGCTCTCCCTCTGCTTGCACTTTAATATTTCTCATCCTCTCTATATGTATCTTGCGAAAATGTCTTTTTTATATCACATTTAAGTCTAGCGTACTGAAGCATTAACACATTAGAATGTCTGTTTAATTTTATTATCGTATTTGTCTTTCAGCTTAAAGTGGCCAGTTGCAATAAATAGTTTAACGGCTCATGTTTATTGTTTTCGTGGATCACAACATACATAAACTATATTTTAACTGACTGCATACGGTGAATATTTATTATTTCTGCTGACACGTGCCACAGAGATGTCACTGTTTATGCATAGCGTCTCTTTATTTTATTTTTGATTTTTTACATTCGTTTATGTTAGTCAAGAGCTACTGAGTTCCAGCTAGCTGTCTTAAAATGCTTCACTGCAGCAAGGTTGCTATGTCAACACTCACTCACTGGCAGACTGAAGTCGCACAGGTCGCTGTGTTAAACACACAAAAGAGACACAAAGAAGACTTCATTTAAAAAGCATAAGGATTAGAATTGATGTGTTCCCCTAAAGTACTTATTACTTCCTTGGGTGTGATACAACACCACAGTAACTTTCATAACATTCATGTAGCATCCAAATGCTAGTAATTTGTTCAGTTTCTTAATATTGTCACATTGGTCAAACATTAAAAAGTGAACTAGTTTTGGGTGTTCAGTGTGGTTGTTTACTGGCCCAGTTCAAAAGAGCCTACTGTACGTCACGTGGTCAAGTGCAAAGACCACAAGTGCGGGTATTTGCACAAGGGGTTTGTTGAGTGACACTGACATTGAGAAACTCCACCCTAGTTGTCACAGTTTCCACATACTCACAAAGCACATTTCCCTTAACAAACTTAAACTGAGCAAATTAGAACAATTAACACTGAGAAAGAAATCAAATCCAAAGAAGCCAACGTTTATTTTGCTGCTGTTCAACGGCTCAAAATATATATTTTTTGTGTCGGTCAAAACATCTTGTAGGGCCAAAAAGAATGTTTTACATGAAGAAGAAGAAAAAACAAAGCTCTCGGGGGACCAGAGAAATGAGATGCTTCCCTTGGTAGCTGGTGCCCTGTGCACTCAGTGTACTCATCTTGTGCTCAGCTCACATTCACACCGAGTACAGAAGAATTTTAAAAGCTGCTCTGTGCAGTGAATACATATGCTAAATTCCTTCTAAATATGGTGTTACAGGGTGACAAACAAATCAAATATACTAGATTACTGATGTTATAAACAATAATGTCAAAATTGTAAAATTGTGTAATGGACCTTTTTCATATTTCCGGGTTTCTCAGCAGTAGAAGTCGTCGTAGTTGGGTAAATTTCTATAGCAGTGAATGGGAGGCTACCACAGATATATTTTTTGCATTCCCATTTGCTCAAACAGCAAAAGAAAAACTCCATGATAGTGTATTCATGACTTTCAAAAAAGGATTAAATAGAGAGAGACTGAAAACTGCAGTCAGTAGAGAGAACGATGTCAAATTTACCCTAGGGTTGCCAACCGCCCCGTATTAGCCGGGATGTCCCGTATTTTGGGCCTAATTTATTTGTCCCGTACGTGACTTTCCTTGTCCCGTTTTTTGACTGCTACGCTGATCTAACCACTGACTGATACAACAGCAGCAGTGCTGATCACTTGAGAATGATCACCGATACCTGTCATCATCCAATCACAGCCCCCCCCGACGCAGTTTACGTTAAATAAATCAGAAATCGTGAACATAACTGTTCGAGGAAGGGTGGGCCATCCTCCTTCTAGCTACAACCGCGAATATAACACATAATTACTGTATTTGCATTACTGTAAGGGTAGGTTTAGGGTTGGGGTAGGTGTAGACTTAAACACAATAAAACACAATCTAATAGGTAGAAAAAATTATTTATTGTTGGTTTCCTGTAGCTGTATCCCTTCTAGCTACAACCGCGAATATAACACATAATTACTGTATTTGCATTACTGTAAGGGTAGGTTTAGGGTTGTGGTAGGTGTAGACGTTAATAAACCATAATTTTACAGGTAGCATTTTTCGTTGTCGAACTGTACTACACACTTGACACTTGATCAGTAAGGGAAGTCATCTTTTACTATTGTAATGTTAAATAGAGAAAAATATTTTATATTTAAGTAAGTAATAGCATAATTGTTAACCTTGGACCTTATTCTTGAAACACATTCTTGAATGACCAATAAAAAGGTGTCAAGCACCAAAAGCAGCCCATATTAAATCTATAAGCTGTCTTTAATTGAAAAATATGCATTTTCATGCATACAGCCAACAAAAACAGCCAAGGTGTGACCACTTTTCGAAAACACTTAAAAGAGTTAAAGGACAATGATCAATGCAACCAGCAACTGGAAGAATATAAGAACAGTCCAGAATGTGGGACGACTGCCTGTGGAAGAAAAGCAGTATTAATGATGGTACAAACAGAAACAACACTCAGTGTTTTCAATGCTAAATATCTACAGATGCACTCTTAAAAATACAAGTTCCATGGTGCCCTAGAGGAACCATTCTTGGTTCCCAAAAAAACCCTTCATTGAACAGTTCTTAAAAGAAACTTTTTCCATAAGGAACTTTTTGTGAAATGGAAAAATTCCATGGATGTTAAAAGTTCTTCATGGAACGGTATGCCAATAAAGAACCTTTATTTTTAAGAGTGTACAAAAGAGTGACTCTGGTTTTACACCCAGAAATCCAACACAATGTACAAAATAATAAACACTCAATCCAACATCCAGAAAAAAATTATCATAAAGTATTCAAGTCATCGAATATGTCACAAAAGTGCACTCATAATTAATGAGAGCAAAACAACTAAGCTAAATACATACATTCAAACAAAAAATAAAAAATGCAATACTATGGGATGAAATTAGTCTCAAATTTACTAACGAATGCACGCACAATTATTCATGAACCTGATAAATGTTGCAAATGTATTTTACTATCCACAACCAAATGTCAGCTTGTGTCTGTGAAATTCAGAATTAGCATGAATGTGCAGAGGTTTGTACACATGTTTGTGAATACAGAGGATTTCTTTTGCAGTAGTGTATCAGAATTTGTGCATGCAACAAGGAAGATGTGCATTTATGGACCGGGTGGCACGCTTGCATTCATTGACATCTCTTCTGAGTCGATTCTATTTGATTCATTTGGATTTTGAGACTTTATTTTTGCAGTTTTCAGCATTTCACAACCCACACAGAAACAACTACCAATTAATAAGACCCAGCGCTATTCATTAATGTGTGCACATGTATGTCAAAATGTCTAAATTAACATTCATGAAATCTTATTCAAATATAAACAAGATAATAATCACTGCATTTTCTCATTTTACAAAGATTTTTCATTTATAACCCACCTGTAGATTTGATGATGAACACTTTGCTGTCACTTCCCAGAGAGTTTGTGGCGGTGCACGTGTAGTTTCCTGGACTGAGGAGGACTGTGGAGGCCTGGAGCACTGAGAAGCTGATCTCCTCTTTCAGATGCTCTGAGTGCCATGTGTACATAGGAGCCGGGTTTGCCTTCACTGTACAGTTTAGCGTAACCTCGTCGTTTTTAATGATGGTTTCTGTTGAATTTAAGTGTTTTGGTTTATCTGAGGAGGACAGAGAGACATTTCTCAACACAACAGCACCACGATGAGCAGCTGTTATTAATAAATCAGTAAAATACTGTACAACTGAAACCATTCACGTAATAATTGATAAAATGATCTCAGTTAATATGCACATCTCTGCGTTTGATGAAATATGACAGTTGCACATCCTTCACACTAAGGCCATTCAGAAAATATAAACTGAATTATACGGCACGTTTAGCAATAATAAACTTACAGTTCAATTCAACATTAAGGCGTCCTGATGTTTCTTTTGGAGGAGGTTGAGGTCCTTCTGCTCCCAGTTCCAGCTCTGCTTCACACCTGTATTGAGCTCCATCATCAGCTCTGTCTGGACGGATCAGGAGTGTGGTGGTTTCATTCACTGGAGTCTTGCTAGCGTCAATGAAGGTGGTTTGATTCAGCAGAGTCTGTCCTTTGTACCATTTGACAGTGAGATTCTGAACAGGAGCCACATCGTGAACATCACACTGGAGCTCATACTGCTTTCCCTCTATCATTGGTCCTCTGTGATTCACAATGCTGATGGACACACTGTCTGGAGTCTCTGTGGAGGAAGATTTACAAACTCTGAAATCTGCAGTGATGAATGTACATTTATTAGATATTTTTGAGAATGAAAAGACAAAAAATTAAATAACAGGGAAACTGACTGTAAATAGTGACTGGGAGCTCTACTTGACACTGTTTCTCATGGTTTATGTAGCAGAATGGCTCTATGTCCCATTCTATCAGATTTGACACTCTCCATGTGATCAGACTGTCTCCGGTCATGGGCACTGCTCCCTCACTGGCTTCCCATCCCATCCCTTTATGTGGGACTGAAGAGCTACAGTTAACTGCTACAGAACCGCCGTATCTCACAACAGCTCTCTGTGGGTTGAGCTGAACAGGACATTCAGCTTGTGTACCTGTTAAACAAAACGAGAAGGATTTTTTTTATAAAACACAAAAATGCACAAAATATTTTCTAATATGTTAATATAATACACAAAATCAGAAAGTAACCTCACTACACAAATTTTTCATATACGGTATATAAACTATTCATTCACAGTATCTGCCTTTCATAATGGTATTACCATCAAACTAATTTGTCTACCATTTAATCTAACTGATTGTAATGGTTAATCAATGGATCATTTGGTGCACCTATAGATTTATATATACAGTAGATCATGATAAGAAAAAAAAATGTCAGAACTGAACTTAGCACTCCAAATATTAGTCCTAAGAGAGATAACAAAGTTATAATCATTTAATCTCCAATAAAGTACTACATAAAACATATTTAGGCTCATTAGATAACAGATGTTTGCACTTCAGGCATTGAACAAATAAAACATACAAACCTGTGAGATTCACAAGCTGTGAAACTGCAGAGAGATAAACAAATCCAAAGAAACGTTGAAACATATTTAATGTGCTCAGGGAAAAGCAACTGAACAGAAAATGTTGTAAATAGACCGAACTTTATGACAGTAACCCTGACTGTACAGTCTGTGACTGAACAGTTGTACCTCGTGCACACGATAATGAAAAAAAAAAGAAAGAAAGAAGAACAAACCCCACCCCGGAAAAAGAGATTTCAGATGACTGACTCGTGTTAATGGATGACAGCAAATCAGAAGCATAAATGAAACGAAATGAACTAATAACCTGTATTCTTGTGACGAGTTGATGTTACCCTGACATTTTAACCAGAACATCATGCAAAAATGATGAATTTCGTGCTCATTCATAACAATCATACAGCTATCCAGATGCTAGTCATTTGTTTAGATATGAAATAAGTTAATAAAAGAAGTATCACATTGGTAAAACACTGAAAAGTGAACTAGCTTTTAGGTGTTTTTAGGTGTTCAGGGAGGTTGTTCAGTTTTAGAATCACTAGTATTTTTTTTTTAATGAGAAACTCCATCCTAGTTGTCACAGTTTCCACTGATACTCACAAAGCACATTTCCCTCAACAAACTGAAACTGAGCAAAATTACAACAATTAACACTGAGAAAGAAATCAAATCCAAAGAAGTCATTACTGCTGTTCAACTGCTCAAAATAAATGATTATGTGTTCTCCAAAATAATATATATATACAGTATCTCACAAGTGAGTACACCCCTCACATTTTTGTAAATAATTTATTATATCTTTTCATGTGACAACACTGAAGAAATTACACTTTGCTACAATGTAAAGTAGTGAGTGTACAGCTTGTATAACAGTGTAAATTTGCTGTCCTCTCAAAATAACTCAACACACAGCCATTAATGTCTAAACCGCTGGCCACAAAAGTGAGTACACCCCTAAGTGAAAATGTCCAAATTGGGCCCAAAGTGTCAATATTTTGTGTGGCCACCATTATTT